AACAGCAATAGGATAGTTCGGAGGTAGTTCGGGGGCTGCTAAAGCACTAGCGAGCAAGAGGCCACGGCTAGCGTGTGCTAGCGGGCCGGGGCTAGCAGATGGAATCTTCGTGGTCGACGTCGTAACGGGAAGCCTGTTGTAACCACATCAGATGATTTCGTCAGCAGACCAGTCGTGTAGGATCGGCGGGGCTCCGTGTCAACACTAGGTGGTCCCGTCCGGTTGACAGAGAGGTAGATAGCCGGGAGATGGGCCTAGCTCAGGATGATTAGCCAAACCACAACGTCCATTTTGTTGCAGCTAGCTGGTAGCGATGAATCCGGAGTTAAAGGTCCAGTGATTCAGTGATTCCGGCAGAAATACGGATATGTTCTGGGTCGATAACGCGCTATGCAGACAGTGCAGACTGGCCGAATAATAGTCCAGGCTAGAGCTGGCTGGTAGGTGGTGCAGGCCACGGACAATGGTGAAAAACCGCTAACGGTGCTAATAGCAAGTAGCTAGTAAGCTGGCTACTCCCGTCCGGTAGACCGAGAGGTAGATAGCCGGGATATGGGCCTGGCTCATGCCCCCCCCCCCCCCCCCCCCCGCTTCTCCTTAACCCAAATTCCGATAGCTGATGTCCTGAAAGAGCTGCAAAATCTGGACCCCTACAAATCAGCTGGGCTAGACAATTACATTTTTACATTTTACATTTTAGTAATTTAGCAGACGCTCTTATCCAGAGTGACTTACAGTTTAGTGAGTGCATACATTTTTCATACAATCTGGACGCTTTATTTCTAAAATTAGCCGCCGATTACTAGCCTGTTCAACCTCTCTTTTGTATCGTCTGAGATCCCCAGAGATTGGAAAGCTGTCGCGGTCATCCCCCTCTTCAAAGGGGGTGACACTATAGATCCAAACTTTTACAGACCTATATCCATCCTGCCCTGCCTTTCGAAAGTATTTGAAAGCCAAGTTAACAAACAGATCACCGACCATTTCGAATCCCACCGTACCTTCTCCGCTATGCAATCTGGTTTCCGAGCTGGTCATGGGTGCACCTCAGCGACGCTCAAGGTCCTAAATGATATAATAACCGCAATCGATAAAAGACAGTACTGTGCAGCCGTCTTCATCGACCTGGCCAAAGCTTTTGACTCTGTCAATCACCGCATTCTTATTGGCAGACTAAATAGCCTTGGTTTCTCAAATGACTACCTCGCCTGGTTTAGCAACTACTTCTCAGATAGAGTTCAATGTGTCAAATCGAAGAGCCTGTTGTCTGGAACTCTGGCAGTCTCTATGGGGGTGCCACAGGGTTCAATTCTCGGGTCGAGTCTATTCTCTGTGTATATCAATGATGTCACTCTTGCTGCTGGTGACTCTCAGATCCACCTCTACGCAGACACCATTTTGTATACATCTGGCCCTTCATTGGACACTGTGTTAACAAACCTCCAAACGAGCTTCAATGCCATACAACACTCCTTCCGTGGCCTCCAACTGCTCTTAAGCGCTAGTAAAAGTAAATGCATGCTCTTCAATCGAACGCTGCTTGCACCCGCCTGCCCGACTAGAATCACTACTCTCGGCGGGTCTGACTTAGAATATGTGGACAACTACAAATACCTAGGTGTCTGGTTAGACTGTAAACTCTCCTTCCAGACTCACATTAAGCCTCTCCAATCCAAAGTTAAGTCTAGAATCGGCTTCCTATTTCGCAATTTCCTACCGATCCTTGACTTCGGCGATGTCATTTACAAAATAGCTTCCAACACTCTACTCAGCAAATTGGATGTAGTCTATCACAGTGCCATCCGTTTTGTCACCAAAGCCCCATATAATACCCACCATTGTGACCTGTACGCTCTCGTTGGCTGGCCCTCACTACATATTCGTTGCCAAACCCACTGGCTCCAGGTCATCTATCAATCACTTCTAAGCAAATCCCCGCCTTATCTTAGCTCATTGGTCACCATAGCAACACCCACCTGTAGTAGGCGTTCCAACAGGTATATCTCACTGGTCATCCCCAAAGCCAACACCTCATTTGGCCGCCATTCCTTCCAGTTCTCTGCTGCAAATGACTGGAACGAACTGCAAAAATCTCTGAAGCTGGAGACTCTTATCTCCCTCACTAATTTTAAGCATCAGTTGTCAGAGCAGCTTACCGATCACTGCACCTGTACACAGCCCATCTGTAATTAGCCCACCCAACTACTTCATCCCCATATTGTTATTTACGTTGTTATTTATTTTGCTCATTTGCACCCCAGTATATCTATTTGCACATCATCTTCTGCACATCTATCACTCCAGTGTTAATACTAAATTGTATTTATTTTGCACTATGGCCTATTTATTGCCTTACCTCCATAACTCACTACATTCACACACTGTATATATATTTTCTGTTGTATTTTTGACTTCGTTTTTTTTACCCCATACAGTGGGGGAAAAAAAGTATTTAGTCAGCCACCAATTGTGCAAGTTCTCCCACTTAAAAAGATGAGAGAGGCCTGTAATTTTCATCATAGGTACACATCAACTATGACAGACAAATTGAGAAAAAAAATCCAGAAAATCACATTGTAGGATTTTTAATGAATTTATTTGCAAATTATGGTGGAAAATAAGTATTTGGTCACCTACCAACAAGCAAGATTTCTGGCTCTCACAGACCTGTAACTTCTTCTTTAAGAGGCTCCTCTGTCCTCCACTCGTTACCTGTATTAATGGCACCTGTTTGAACTTGTTATCAGTTTAAAAGACACCTGTCCACAACCTCAAACAGTCACACTCCAAACTCCACTATGGCCAAGACCAAAGAGCTGTCAAAGGACACCAGAAACACAATTGTAGACCTGCACCAGGCTGGGAAGTCTGAATCTGCAATAGGTAAGCAGCTTGGTTTGAAGAAATCAACTGTGGGAGCAATTATTAGGAAATGGAAGACATACAAGACCACTGATAATCTCCCTCGATCTGGGGCTCCACGCAAGATCTCACCCCGTGGGGTCAAAATGATCACAAGAACAGTGAGCAAAAATCCCAGAACCACACGGGGGGACCTAGTGAATGACCTGCAGAGAGCTGGGACCAAAGTAACAAAGCCTACCATCAGTAACACACTACGCCGCCAGGGACTCAAATCCTGCAGTGCCAGACGTGTCCCCCTGCTTAAGCCAGTACATGTCCAGGCCCGTCTGAAGTTTGCTAGAGTGCATTTGGATGATCCAGAAGAGGATTGGGAGAATGTCATGGTCAGATGAAACCAAAATATAACTTTTTGGTAAAAACTCAACTCGTCGTGTTTGGAGGACAAAGAATGCTGAGTTGCATCCAAAGAACACCATACCTACTGTGAGGCATGGGGGTGGAAACATCATGCTTTGAGGCTGTTTTTCTGCAAAGGGACCAGGACGACTGATTCGTGTAAAGGAAAGAATGAATGGGGCCATGTATCGTGAGATTTTGAGTGAAAACCTCCTTCCATCAGCAAGGGCATTGAAGATGAAACGTGGCTGGGTCTTTCAGCATGACAATGATCCCAAACACACCGCCCGGGCAACGAAGGAGTGGCTTCGTAAGAAGCATTTCAAGGTCCTGGAGTGGCCTAGCCAGTCTCCAGATCTCAACCCCATAGGAAATCTTTGGAGGGAGTTGAAAGTCCGTGTTGCCCAGCGACAGCCCCAAAACATCACTGCTCTAGAGGAGATCTGCATGGAGGAATGGGCCAAAATACCAGCAACAGTGTGTGAATACCTTGTGAAGACTTACAGAAAACGTTTGACCTGTGACATTGCCAACAAAGGGTATATAACAAAGTATTGAGAAACTTTTGTTATTGACCAAATACTTATTTTCCACCATAATTTGCAAATAAATTCATTAAAAATCCTACAATGTGATATTCTGGATTTTTTTTTCTCAATTTGTCTGTCATAGTTGACGTGTACCTATGATGAAAATTACAGGCCTCTCTCATCGTTTTAAGTGGGAGAACTTGCACAATTGGTGGCTGACAAAATAGTTTTTTCCCCCACTGTATGTAACTCTGTGTTGTTGTTTTTATCGCACTGCTTTGCTTTATCTTGGCCAGGTCGCAGTTTACCTGGTTAATTAAAGGTGAAATAAAATAAATAAAAAAGAGTTTGTAATCTGATTGATTGATTGCTTCTTTGGACAGGTGTCTTTTATACAGGTAACAAACTGAGATTAGGAGCACTCCCTTTAAGAGTGTGCTCCTAATCTCAGCTCATTACCTGTATAAAAGACACCTGGGAGCCAGAAATCTTTCTGATTGAGAGGGTGTCAAATACTTATTTCCCTCATTAAAATGCAAATCAATTTATAACATTTTTGACATGCCTTTTTCTGGATTTTTTTATTGTTATTCTGTCTCTCACTGTTCAAATAAACCTACCATTAAAATTATAGACTGATCATTTCTTTGTCAGTGGGAAAACGTACAAAATCAGCAGGGGATCAAATACCCTCACTGTACATGGATGGACGCTTATCCCTCTCTGTCACGGATACCATGGTTGCCCTTAGTTTGAAAATGTAATCCGGAGACAGATGTTTTATACAATAGCCTTCTGTGTGTTCTCTTTTCCACTCCCTCTGCATATTTGCAATCAAACGCCAGAATTTTCTCCATCTCCTTAGCTATCATGCTCTAATTCCACTGGGTATTCCACTGATTTCAAAACTCGGTCCTCCAGAAAGTGGAGAGCAACATTTTTCCAGTTCAAATGGCTCACTTTTACGTTCAAATGGCTCTCCTGTGAAGTAGTGACGTGCAACATACACCTAGTTTCCTGAAACTAGTCACATAGATATATAGATTTTTTTTTTTTTACTGGATTCCGCATTTATTAATGACACAAAATAATAAAGCCTTGTTCACCTTCGGAGGCGGTTTCTCCAGATACTGCGATCACAACATGGAAAATAACGTACATTTTCTATTTTATTCTTCGTCTTAATATAATGTGTATTTGACAGAGCCCATGCAGGAGCCGCAGGGGAACCTGGGTTTTCCTAGGGACATCAGCAGCCCTATCACATCTGATGAAGAGTACCTCAGCCCACTGGAGGAAAGCATGGACTTTGGAGGGCCTGAGACAAGGAAGATTGTCGACACTCGATTCAAGGAGCCCCCTGCCTTCCAGGTGAGACTATGTAACACTGGATCCCAAAAGGATCTCTCGGGTGTATCACTTGGCTCTCCTTGACTTTACATTATACTGTAGAAACTTGTTGTGGTAAACTTACATTTACATTTTAGTCATTTAGCAGACGCTCTTATCCAGAGCGACTTACAGTTAGTGAATACATATTTTTTTAATACTGGCCCCCCGTGGGAATCGAACCCACAACCCTGGCATTGCAAACGCCATGCTCTATCAACTGAGCTACATCCCTGCCGGCCATTCCCTCCCCTACCCTGGACCAATTGTGCGCCGCCCATGAATCTCCCGGTCGCGGCCGGCTGCGACAGAGCCTGGATTCGAACCAGGATCTCTAGTGGCACAGTTAGCACTGCGATGCAGTGCCTTAGACCACTGCGCCACTCAGGAGACTGCAACTTAGGCAAGGGATCCGTTTGGGATTTGGCAACTAGATCTCTTTCACAATTTTTTTAAAAATTGCTATTGCAATACACTGTAAAATCTATAAAAGCTTTAAACTTAATCTCAAAGCACTTCATATTGTATGGTGATTCACCTAATCCAGCAAGCATTGGATGTTCCAGTAATGCTTTACTTGACACCCAGCGTCATAACACGTTATGACACGGTCATTTACATTTATATTTTAGTCATTTAGCAGACGCTCTTATCCAGAGCGACTTACAATTAGTGAGTGCGTACATAATTTTTATATTTTTCATACTGGCCCCCCGTGGGAATCGAACCCACAACCCTGGCGTTACAAACGCCATGCTCTACCAACTGAGCTACATCCCTGCCGGCCATTCCCTCCCCTACCCTGGACGACGCTGGGCCAATTGTGCGCCGCCCCATGGGTCATAACAGCTGACATAACTTGTCATAACCTGTTATAATGTGGTCATAACACTGTCATGACATATTTAGACCTGTTGTGACATATATTGCATTATTTTAAGGCTGGTTATGACATCTACATAAGAGCGTCAAAACCCACATAACCTACCACACAAGTCAAAACATTCCATTACACCATAGCCGTCATGTTATATATTTTATTTTATTGTATTTCTTTACCATATTAAATGATCATTGTTATTGCGCACACATTGATGATGTCAGACATGCACCTACCCCAATGCTCTGTTGCTGATGACTGGGATGAATGCAGGAGCAGATTTCAGGAGCAGGACAATACACCCTCGTTTTGACTGATGACTGATATAAGGGCATGTACATGATAGGCCTATCTGGATTATATGATTATGATGGTCATAATGCTTCTTGACAGTGTCATAAAGTGTATTTTCTTAGTCCAAGTAAAGTGACACAGCACGGCCATAATGCTTCATGACAGTGTCATAAAGTTTATTTTCTTCAAGTAATTTAAAATATAATGGGGAAAAAACATGACTGTAAATAATTCATTACAACAACAAAGCGTTTAAGAAACAAACTTTCAAACAGAAGGAAACTTCTTGGCAGGGAAAAAACTAATTTGAATAAATGTGGGTTTTGACACTCATGACGGAATATATGTCACAACAGGTGTAAATAGATGGGTCATCACAGTGTTATGACAAAAATTATGACAGGTTATGACAAGTTATGTCAGCTGTTATGACATAATATGACATGGTTATGACCGTGTCATAATGTATTATGACACTGTGTGTCAAGTAAAGTGTTACCGATATTCCATATAGTGTAGTTTTCATTTTAAAAGTGACAGCATGGAAATGAGTCTATGTGCTGTCAACTCCCATTTCAAAATGGCTCATCCTCCGTTTTAACAGGTAACTATGAATGATCAAGTTGTCATTGAGGGGCAAGAGGTCACCATGTCTGTCCGACTAAATGGGCAGCCCAAACCTATGCTTTATTGGTAGGTTTTCTTAGACCATCAAATCCTCAACTCATTGCTCTGTGTATTTAATCTTAACTGATAAAGCCTGCTGTAACGTTCATGAGATATTGATACAATATAGAAGAAAATAATTGTCCCGCATACACTACATTACCAAAAGTATGAGGACACCTGCTCGTCGAACATCTCATTCCAAAATCATGGGCATCAATATGGAGTTGGTCCCCCCTTTGCTGCTATAACAGCCTACACTCTTCTGGGAAGGCTTTCCACTAGATGTTGGAACATTGCTGCGGGGACTTGCTTCCATTCAGCCACAAGAGCATTAGTGAGGTCGGGCACTGATGTTGGGCGATTAGGCCTGACTTGCAGTCGGCGTTCCAATTCATCCCAAAAGTGTTCGATGGGGTTGTGGTCAGCGCTCTGTGCAGGACAGTCAAGTTCTTCCACACCGATCTCGAAAAACCATTTCTCTATGGACCTCACTTTGTGCACGGGGGCATTGTCATGTTGAAACAGGAAAGGGCCTTCCCCAAACTGTTGCCACAAAGTTGGGAGCACAGAATCGTCTAGAATGTCATTGTATGCTTTAGCGGTAAGATTTCCCTTCTCTGGAACTAAGGGGGCCTAGCCCGAACCATGAAAAACAGCCCCAGACCATTATTCCTCCTTCACCAAACTTTACAGTTGGCGCTATTTATTGGGGCAGGTAGCGTTCTCCTGGCTTCCGCCAAACCCAGATTCGTCCGTCGGACTGCCAGATGTTGAAGTGGGATTCATCACTCCAGAGAGCCCATTTCCACTGCTCCAGAGTCCAATGGCATCGAGCTTTACAGCACTCCAGTGTACGCTTGGCATTGCGCATGGTGATCTTAGGCTTGTGTGCGGCTTCTCGGCCATGGAAACCCATTTCATGAAGCTCCTGACGAACAGTTATTGTGCTGACGTTGCTTCCAGAGGCAGTTTGGAACTAGGAAGTGAGTGTTGCAATCAGGAACAGACCATTTTTACGCGCTGCGCCCTTCAGCACTCGCCGGTCTCATTCTGTGAGCTTGTGTGCTTACCACTTTGCGGCTGAGCCGTTGTTGCTCCTAGACTTTTCCACTTCCCAATAACAGCACTTACAGTTGACTGGGGCAGCTCTAGTAGGGCAGAAGTTTGACGAACTGACTTCTTGGAAAGGTGGCATCCTATAACGGTGCCACGTTGAAACTCAATGAGGTCATTAAGGTCATTCTACTGCCAATGATTGTCTATGGAGATTGCATGGCTGTGTGCTCGATTTTATACACCTGTCAGTAACGGGTGTAGCTGAAATAGCCGAATCCACTAATTTGAATGGGTGTCCGCATACTTTTGTATATTGTATCTTGCCATTAGAGTTTTGTGCATGCTCCACATTGGCATGGTTCACATTAGCAAGACAATGGATGCTAGGTTTCTGTAATACATTTACAATGTAGTCTTTATAAAACCAGTATACTGTAGTTCCCTCTACATTGTAATGCATCTCTAAACATTGCAAAACATTTCTAAATATAGAACTCTCTCTTGGTTCAGGCTGAGGGACAGGGTGACGATTAAAACAGACTTGCACTACACTGTGCGTGAGACAGAGGATGGCACTTTTGAAATGACCATCAACTCAGCTCAGAAGTCGGACACAGGAGTGTACACCTGCAAGATCATCAATGAGTATGGAACGAAGCATTGCGAATGCAAACTGGAGGTGAAAGGTACAGTACAGCAATGTTGTCTTTTTCCAATCCCTCTCTTTGCTGTATGCCAATCAAATAATACAAAACATTGGATAACACTTTTTTATGTGAGGTACATATAATGCCTTATTAACACTGACTCTAAGCGTAGTAATAGCTTAGTGGTTAAGAGCGTTGTGCCAGTAACCGAAAGGTCGCTGGTTCTAATCCCCGAGCCGAATAGGTAAAACATCTGTCGATGTGCCCTTGAGCAAGGCACTTAACCCTAATTGCTCCTGTAAGTCGCTCTGGATAAGAGCGTCTGCTAAATGACTAAAATGTAAAATGTAAATGTAATAAGCGTAGTTGTTCTCCACTCACAATGTGTAAGCTACAAAGCTTGGCAGACAGCTTACACTCTTCCAATAAAGAATCAGGAGGCATTGGTACCGTTAACAATCTTTAGTAGAAGATATTTTGTTTGTAAAACTGTAACAGATACAGAAAGGAGAAAATGTATGAGAAAAAGTACAGCATCTCTATCACGAGTTAGCAACAAGAAAACGAACAGAAATGATGACAATTTACATCACAGGAAAGGTGACACTAAACCTACACACCTTAAGTGTCCATATAGCTTATTAACTATGCTTTAGCTCTGTCACAAGAGATATCTGAACACTTAAAATAGCTAGATACGTCCAAAAACCAAATAAGCTAAATTCTGTCACAAAACGATAGCTAGCATGCTAACACACAATGTTAAGTGAATGGGCGATAGTTCGCGCAATTAGCTTAGCATCATCTGAACTTGGAAAACTAGAATAAACATGTAAAAAACATAAATATTCTAGAAACAAAATTTGAATTAGCAAAAGCATGTTCTAATAACTCGAAAGTACTTACAGACTTATCTTTAACCAAGGCCTAGTAAGATGGAAAAATAGAGCTTGTCTGTCTGTTGTTGTCGATCGGATTGTTCTGACAGGAAATAGCTCTGAACCGAAAGTTAGCAAATTAAAGCTACAGTACCCAAATTCGCCAGTAGATGACAACATAATGACAATATAATACTTTGTACAGAAGTACAGCTATCAGAACAGTAGTATTAAGCTATAAACTCACAAGTCATTAAAACATCCTTATGAGACTCAAATGCATGATTATTGGCCAACTTTGAAAACGCAGGTGATATATTGAAATATATACATTACTAAATACTTATTTTATTGCAGACTGACAGATAATGAACATGACACAGAATTTACAGAATATTCTCTCTTGTCCTGTGTATCCCCTAGTGCCACCAGTGGAGCCAGGCCTAGCCATTACCCGTCCAGTGATGGACATCACAGCGGACGCCGGTGAGACGGTCATGTTAGAGTGCCACGTAATTGGACCACTGGACACAGACGTCGATTGGCTAGCAGATGGTAAACAGATCCAGCCGGCTCTGCTCAACTGCAAAATGCATTTTGACGGGAAAAGGTGCAGGCTGCTCCTCAACTCAGTGCACGAAGATGACAGCGGCACCTATACGTGCAAGCTGACCTCGGCCAAAGGTAAACTCTTAACTGCACTATCACCCACTTCGCTTGTCCTCTTCATCTCTGTTGGTATAGATTAACCAAACATGTAGAATAACCAAAAGTTAAATCTTTGTATATCATTAGCTTCTATATATTACTGCATACATATACAGTATCATATCATATCATATAGATGATGAAATGTAAGTCATCAACTTTCCAGAATCAAACTGGATCTCTTGAAATAAGTTGAATGACAAATTCAATTAATAAAACAGGTACTGTAAATGTTTTACTTCATTTTCAACTTCATCTTCATTTTAAGTTTGTTGTTTTACTTTGGCCTTGTTTTGTTTTAGAGGAACTGACCTTAAGTGGCCAACTCAAAGTCATCCCCTCCATCAAGCCCCTTTTCACCCGCAAGCTGGATGTCTTAGAGGTGATTGAGGGACGTAACGCCCGCTTTGACTGCAAGGTCAGCGGATCACCACCTCCAAAAGTCAGCTGGGGACATTTTGGTAGGAGACTCATTTTCATCATGTTCACATAGCCACATAAGTTCCTATAAATACCCTACTATTTTAAAGTATTTTCAAATACTTATTTCAAATACTATATTCAAATACCTGGGTTAAATGCATGTGAGTGTATTTTAGTCAGTGTATTTTAGTATTTTCAAATACATGCCAATACTTTCCAAGTGTATTTCCGAATACATTTCAATAATTAACTACTTGTCTTTTAAAAAAAATATCTGAATACTTTTACAGTATTTGAACCCAGGTCTGGCAGGTACAAATTGTTACATAGTAATTACTAAATTTTACTACTGTTATACTTGTTTGTGGCATGCACAATTTCAAGGTTTCGCAAATAAAATCACTATGCAGACAATGTCTCAATATCCTCTTCTCTCCCCAGACCATACACTGGTAGAGAGTGACAATGTGCAGATCTTACAAGAGGGAGGACGTCACTCCCTCATAATCTCTCATGTCACCAATGAGGATGAGGGCTTCTACACAGTCATCGCTTGCAATCCACACGGCAACGCCGAGAGTGCCGCTGAGCTCTATGTCCAGGAGCCCAGACCTGCTATGTCATCTCAAATGTAGGAACACACTTACCACCTACAGTCCTCACCATATTTTTATTTATTGTATTTTATTTCACCTTTATTTAACTAGGCAAGTCAGTTAAGAACAAATTCTTATTTACAATGACGGCCTACACCGGCCAAACCCGGACGACGCTGGGCCAATTGTGCGCCGCCCTATGGGACTCCCAATAACGGCCGGTTGAGATACAACCTGGAATCGAACCATGTGGTCTGTAGTGACGCCTCAAGCACTGAGATGCAGTGCCTTAGACCGCTGCGCCACTCGGGAGCCCATATATGTATTTGGACAGTGAAGCTACATTTGTAATTTTGGCTCTGTACTCCAGCTTTGAAATCTAAATGATTAATATGACAGCGACAGTACAGATTGCCACCTTTTATTTTTTGGGTATTTTCATATATATCTGTTTTATCATTTAGACATAAAATCCCTTTATCACTTTATGTATCCCCCGTTTGAAGAAATCATAAATATTTGGACAAATTTGCTATAGTGTGTTAAAGTAGTCAAAACTTTAGTATTGGTTTTATAATCCTTGCATGCAATGACTACATCAAACTTGTGACTCTACAAATACGGTGGGTGCATTTGCGGTTTGTTTTGGGTGTGTTTTGGGTCATGTCTTGTCCAATAGTAACTAAATGGTGAATTATGTCAGGTGTCATTTTGGAGTGAGAATAAAATATGTTTCTAAACACTCTTATATTCATTTGAATGCTGCCATGATCATGACAAATCCTGAATGAATCATGAATAATGAAGAGTGAGAAAGTTACAGAGGCACAAATATGATACCCCCCCCAAAAGTGCTAACCTTCCCTGTTATAGGTAATGGTGAGAGGTTAGCATCTGTTGTTGTAGCTTTTGTAACTTTCATATTCATCATTATTCATGATCTATTCATGAATTTTCTTAATAGTGGCAGCATCAGAATGAATTAAGAAGTGCTCAGAAACATTCTCTCTGCACATTTAGAAATAAAATTACTCCAGGCACCATTCACTACTAAGTTACTATTGGGCAAGACGTCCCAGAATACACCCAAAACAATCTGCAAATGCACCCAATGAGTTTGTAGAGTCAAGTAGTCATTGGGTGCAAGCAATTTGGGACCAAATACTAACCTTCAGACTACTTTAATACACTAACTTTCAATATCCTTGGGGTCATGTAGAGTGCCAAAGAAGTTGTAAACAGATATGATCTGGGCACAATTAGACTATTCAAGATATTTTGAGAGGAACCGAATGGCCGTGCACAAACAGGGGTGTTACTGTAAATATTGGTTACGTACTTAGAAATACTTCGATTTCTTGCAAAATCAATCAATCAATCAATTTTATTTTATATAGCCCTTCTTACATCAGCTAATATCTCGAAGTGCTGTACAGAAACCCAGCCTAAAACCCCAAACAGCTAGTAATGCAGGTGTAGAAGCACGGTGGCTAGGAAAAACTCCCTAGAAAGGCGAAAACCTAGGAAGAAACCTAGAGAGGAACCAGGCTATGAGGGGTGGCCAGTCCTCTTCTGGCTGTGCCGGGTGAAGATTATAACAGAACCATGCCAAGATGTTCAAAAATGTTCATAAGTGACAAGCATGGTCAAATAATAATCAGGAATAAATCTCAGTTGGCTTTTCATAGCCGATCATTAAGAGTTGAAAACAGCAGGTCTGGGACAGGTAGGGGTTCCATAACCGCAGGCAGAACAGTTGAAACTGGAATAGCAGCAAGGCCAGGCGGACTGGGGACAGCAAGGAGTCACCACGGCCGGTAGTCCCGACGTATGGTCCTAGGGCTCAGGTCTCTCAGTTGGCTTTTCATAGCCGATCATTAAGAGTTGAAAACAGCAGGTCTGGGACAGGTAGGGGTTTCGTAACCGCAGGCAGAACAGTAAAATCATTACATACAGTGGGGAGAACAAGTATTTGATACACTGCCGATTTTGCAGGTTTTCCTACTTACAAAGCATGTAGAGGTCTGTAATTTTTTATCATAGGTACACTTCAACTGTGTGAGACGGAATCTAAAAAAATCCTGAAAATCCTGAAAATCACATTGTATGATTTTTAAGTAATTAATTTGCATTTTATTGCATGACATAAGTATTTGATCACCTACCAACCAGTAAGAATTCCGTCTCTCACAGACCTGTTGGTTTTTCTTTAAGAAGCCCTCCTGTTCTCCACTCATTACCTGTATTAACTGCACCTGTTTGAACTCGTTACCTGTATAAAAGACACCTGTCCACACACTCAATCAAACAGACTCCAACCTCTCCACAATGGCCAAGACCAGAGAGCTGTGTAAGGACATCAGGGATACAATTGTAGACCTGCACAAGGCTGGGATGGGCTACAGGACAATAGGCAAGCAGCTTGGTGAGAAGGCAACAACTGTTGGCGCAATTATTAGAAAATGGAAGAAGTTCAAGATGACGGTCAATCACCCTCGGTCTGGGGCTCCATGCAAGATCTCACCTCGTGGGGCATCAATGATCATGAGGAAGGTGAGGGATCAGCCCAGAACTACACGGCAGGACCTGGTCAATGACCTGAAGAGAGCTGGGACCACAGTCTCAAAGAAAACCATTAGTAACACACTACGCCGTCATGGATTAAAATCCTGCAGCGCACGCAAGGTCCCCCTGCTCAAGCCAGCGCATGTCCAGGCCTGTCTGAAGTTTGCCAATGACCATCTGGATGATCCAGAGGAGGAATGGGAGAAGGTCATGTGGTCTGATGAGACAAAAATATAGCTTTTTGGTCTAAACTCCACTTGCCGTGTTTGGAGGAAGAAGAAGGATGAGTACAACCCCAAGAACACCATCCTAACCGTGAAGCATGGAGGTGGAAACATCATTCTTTGGGGATGCTTTTCTGCAAAGGGGACAGGACGACTGCACCGTATTGAGGGGAGGATGGATGGGGACATGTATCGCGAGATCTTGGCCAACAACCTCCTTCCCTCAGTAAGAGCATTGAAGATGGGTCGTGGCTGGGTCTTCCAGCATGACAAAGACCCGAAACACACAGCCAGGGCAACTAAGGAGTGGCTCCGTAAGAAGCATCTCAAGGTCCTGGAGTGGCCTAGCCAGTCTCCAGACCTGAACCCAATAGAACATCTTTGGAGGGAGCTGAAAGTCCGTAATGCCCAGTGACAGCCCCGAAACCTGAAGGATCTGGAGAAGGTCTGTATGGAGGAGTGGGCCAAAATCCCTGCTGCAGTGTGTGCAAACCTGGTCAAGACCTACAGGAAACTTATGATCTCTGTAATTGCAAACAAAGGTTTCTGTACCAAATATTAAAGTTCTGCTTTTCTGATGTATCAAATACTTATGTCATGCAATAAAATGCAAATTATTTACTTAAAAATCATACAATGTGATTTTCTGGATTTTTGTTTTAGATTCCGTCTCTCACAGTTGAAGTGTACCTATGATAAAAATTACAGACCTCTCCATGCTTTGTAAGTAGGTGTCACGGTTTCGGCCGAGGCTGCCTCTCTTCCTTGCTCGGGCAGGCTTCGGCGTTCGTCGTCTCCGGAATACTAGCTGCCACCGTTGTATGTTTCTATGTTCGTTTGGTCTGGTCTGGTATTGTACACCTGTTATCGTTTAGTGTCATTAGTGTCCTATAAGTTCTCGTTGTGTTTGTCAGGTGTTGTGTGTGATTGTTTTCACTGTCGTGCGTTTTGCTTGTTCATATACTGTTTGCTCGGTTGAGCTGTTCTCCTATGTGTAGGAGTGTTTTGTCGCACATGTTTAGTGCGCCCGTTTTGTTTTCGCCTGCGTGCGGAGTTCTCGCCTCAGGGCATTTCATCGTGCTTGAGTTTGTGCATGCACTAAAGTCTTTTGGACTTACTTTCTGCGTCCTGCGCCTGATTCCACCACCACACCCACCTACAGCTACACTGACAGTAGGAAAACCTGCAAAATCGGCAGTGTATCAAATACTTGTTCTCCCCACTGTATGTCTATGATAATATGATAATTCATAAACGTTAATGTTTTTTAAGTGAGTTTATTTGGTTTATTTCTTAGGAGTTACATTTGACCCCAGTTACTATTACAATTGCCCCTGGCATGGGGGCAAATGGAACGTCAGGACTTTTCAGATTAAAATCTATATTTTGATCTGACCGTCTAATGTACAGACCTAAATCAAATCAAATGTTATTTGTCACATGCTTCGTAAACAACAGGTGGAGACTAAGAGTGAAATGCTTACTTACAGGTCCTTTTTCAACAATGCAGAGTTAAACATACAAATAAAATACTAATACAAATATTGACACCAGGAAGAAATACACAGTGAATAACAATAACTAGTAAAAATAACATGGCTATATACAGGGAGTACCATTACCGAGTCGATGTGCAGGGGTACGTGGTAATTGCAGCAGTGCAGCAGAATTGGTGCAAAAAAGTGTATGAATGATTAAGAGACAGATGTAAGTTTCTTATATATAAAAAATGACCGCCCTATTTCAAGTGGTCTCCGAGCAATAGAGTTTTATTTTGCCCCTGGTCTTCCCTGGTTTTATGTCTCAGTGGTAAAGCAGATACACTATATATAAAAAAGTATGTGGACACCCCTTCAAATTAGTGGATTCGGCTATTTCAGCTACACCCGTTGCTGACAGGTGTATAAAATGCAATCTCCATAGACAAACATTGGCAGTAGAATGGCCTTAATGAAGAGCTCAGTGACTTTCAACATGGCACGTGGATACCAACAAGTCAGTTCATAGGATTCCAACAAGTCAGTTCGTAAAATTTCTGCCCTGCTAGAGCTGCCCCGGTCAACTGTAAGTGCTGTTTTTGAGAAGTGGAAGCGTCTAGGAGCAACAACGGCTCAGCCGCGAACACAAGCATACAGAATGGAATCGCCGAGTGCTGAAGCACATAGCGCATAAAAATTGTGTGTCCTTTGTTGCAACACTCACTACCGAGTTCCAAACTGCCTCTGGAAGCAACGTCAGCACAATAACTGTTCGTCGGGAGCTTCATGAAATGGGTTTCCATGGCCGAGCAGCTGCACACAAGCCTAAGATCACAATGCGCAATGCCAAGCGTACGTTGGAGAGGTGTAAAGCTCGCTGCCATTGGACTCTGGAACAGTGTAAACGCGTTCTCTGGAGTGATGAATCACGCTTCACCATCTGGCAGTCCGACGGACGAATATGGGTTTGGCGGTTGCCAGGAGAAAGCTACCTGCCCCAGTGCATAATGCCAACTGTAAAGTTTGGTGGAGAAGGAATAATGGTCTGGGGCTGTTTTTCATGGTTTGGGCTAGGCCCCTTAGTCCCAGTGAAGGGAAATCTTAATGCTACAGCATACAATGACATTCTAGACAATTCTGTGCTTCCAACTTTGTGGCAACAATTTGGGGAAGGCCCTTTCCTTTTCAGCATGACAAAGCGAGGTCCTTAAAAAAATGACTTTTCGAGATCGGTGTGGGAGAACTTGACTGGCCTGCACAGAGCCCTGACCTCAACCCCATCGAACACCTTTGGGATGAATTGGAACGCCATATTAATGCCCATGATTTTGGAATGAGATCTTCGACGAGCAGGTGTCCACATACTTTTGGTCATATAGTGAATGCATGAAAATACCCTCAAATAAAACATTCTCTACTATTGTGTCATATTGATCATTTGATCTCAAATCCAAAATGCTGGAATATAGAGAAAATTCAAGTTTTAGCTTCACTGTCTAAATACATAATTTAGAGATAAACTAGCCTAGATTTCACAATCCATATTAGGCACATTCAACAAGTTGCTCTCTCTCTCTCTCTCTCTCTCTCTCTCTCTCTCTCTCTCTCTCTCTCTCTCTCTCTCTCTCTCTCTCTCTCTCTCTCTCTCTCTCTCTCTCTCTCTCTCTCTCTCTCTCTCTCTCTCTCTCTCTCTCTCTCTCTCTCTCTCTCTCTCTCTCTCTCTCTCTCTCTCTCTCTCTCTCTCTCTCTCTCTCTCGACCCCTCCCTCCAAAGGGCGAAGCTAGAGAAGATGCCGTCCATCCCGGAGGAGCCTGAGGTGCTGGACAACGAGGTTGATCGCTTTACCATGCCTGACTTTGTCAAGCCCCTGTACGACCTGGACGTGATTGAGGGCAAGGAGGCCGTGCTCAAGTGCAAGGTGGCCGGCCTGCCATACCCCACCATCGTGTGGTTCCACAATGGCAAGAAGATCGACAGCATGGAGGACAGGAAAATGACACATTGTGAGTTGAGATTAGTACTATCAGTGCAGCTATATAAGTCCAACTGCAATTTTAACACTGTTTCATACAACATTAACATATTTTGTAAAACTGTCCAAACTTTGTACAATATTAAATGCACCATCATTCATAGATAAAGTTCCTATATTTGATTAATCAGTTGTAGTACAACAATGGTTTTTAGGCAACAGCTTGAATGCTAACAACGCACTTTCAGCAGGATATAACGATTAGCTTAACGCTATGATGTGCTTTGGGAAACTCACCCCTGTGCTGTTCCTCTCTTCCAGTCAGAGACATCCACAGCCTGGTCATCAGCTCTGTCTGCCACGCTCACGGAGGGGTATACAAGAGTGTCATCTCCAACAAGGTGGGCAAGGCCACCTGCTACGCCCATCTATATGTGACTGGTGAGGAATCCCAGATGACTTTTTGCTAATACTTACTTTAAGCCTAAAGGTATAATGCATTATGTTACAGTTATAATGCATTGTAAGACTTGTCATGTGCATGTATGGGCCTCATACTGCCTAAATACCAGCCATGTTGAGTCAGTTGACATTTGATCAACTTTGTCAAGATAGTCTGTTGCTGAATCCCAAATCAACCCCTATAGCCCCTACCCCCATGGCACTCCTGTAGATCTGAAAGGATCTGATAGATTTAAGCAACACAGCAATTACATAGGTTTGCCTCGACTGGGTGGAGTTTTTGCCATTTGCGGCCACCTAGCCAAGGGTTTATGGGCTAGAGGTCGATTTGGGATTCAGCATACTTTGATGCATGCGCAAGAGGCTCATTTTACCATTCCCCATTAACTTGAACTACAGTGTTGATGGAATAGGGGACCTGGGCTGCAGTCCAAATTCAAAGTAGACAGCTCTCGGCCCTAAACCCTCAGCCCTTGAATGACGTTTTACATCGTCACAACCAAGTGTACCTTGCCCAACCGAGGGAGAGTGATGATCGGAGAAGCAACGTCTTTGGTGGAAATCTTGAAATTGAGCTTAAAAACAACCAACATAAAGCTATTAATGTACCTAGAAAGCTAACGTAGCTAGCTAGCACTCCTGTCAGGTAGGCTAGCTAGTTTTATAATTTGGTAATTTATTCCCAAAAATATGTTTATGAAGCGAGCTATGTTTTATAGGTCCTGACTATGAGACTAAGCCAATTTGCCAACGCTAAAATCAATGTCATCTACACTACCGGTCAAATGTTTTAGAACACCTACTCATTCAAGGGTTTTTCTTTATTTGAACTATTTTCTACATTGTAGAATAATAGTTAAGACATCAACACTATGAAATAACACATATGGAATCATGTAGTAACCAAAAAAGTGTTAAACAAATCAAAATATATTTTATATTTGAGATTCTTCAAATAGCCACCCTTTGCCTTGATGACAGCTTTGCACACTCTTGGCATTCTCTCAACCAGCTTCATGAGGTAGTCACCTGGAATGCATTTTAATTAACAGGTGTGCCTTCTTAAAAGTTCATTTGTAGAATTTCTTTCCTTCTTCATGCGTTTGAGCCAATCAATTGTGTTGTGACAAGATAGGGGGGGGGTATACAGAAGATAGCCCTATTTGGGATCTTCTGTATACCCCCCCCCCCCCCCCCCCCCCCCTACCTTGTCGAATTGCTGAAAAGAAACCACTACTAAAGGACACCAATAATAAGAAGAGACTTGCTTGGGCCAAATTGAAGATTTTTGGTTACAACCGCCGTGTCTTTGTGAGACGCGGTGTGGGTGAACGGATGATCTCCGCATGTGTATTTCCCACCGTAAAGCATGGAGAAGGAGGTGTTATGGTGTGGGGGTGCATTGCTGGTGACACTGTCTGTGATTTATTTAGAATTCAGCATGGCTACCACAGCATTCTGCAGCGATACGCCATCCCATCTGGTTTTGGCATTCGTTTTTCAAAAGGACAATGACCCAACACACCTCCAGGCTGTGTAAGGGCTATTTTACCAAGAAGGAGAGTGATGGAGTGTTGCATCAGATGACCTGGCCTCCACAATCCCCTGACCGTAACTAAATTGAGATGGTTTGGGATGAGTCGGACCGCAGAGTAAAGGAAAAGCAGCCAACAAGTGCTAAGCATATGTGGGAACTCCTTCAAGACTTTTGGAAAAGCATTCCAGGTGAAGCTGGTTGAGAGAATGCCAAGAGTGTGCAAAGATGTCATCAAGGCAAAGTGTGGATATTTGAAGAATCTTGTCTGACATGCCGAAAATGCAGCCGTGTTGATTAATTACTTTGACATTTCGCGGCCACCGGAGTATGACACGTGACTGCAGTTTGCATTGATTTGTGGGTCATATCAACCCCTACAAGTGATCAAAGTTCTTCACTCGCTCCCTCAAGCAAAATCGAGGGCCGAGGGGCAACGTTAGTGTATTGGACCTCCACTTAAATGGCAATCAAACTGCATCCATTTCCGACGGGAATTCCCCCAAGGGAAAGTGGCTAGCGCGAGGGCTGAGGGGGTAAAAATAATATGTTTGGACTGCAGCCTTTGTGTTTCTAACAAACGCGCAAATCTATTATAAAATGTATATCCTCCTACTCAAGAAGTTAGTCCTTTACTGTAGGGTAGGTGGTAAAGGGATACTGTTTATTTGAATAGGAGGATATACATTTTATCAAAGATTTGCAGGTTTGTTAGAAACTGTGTATGAACACTTGTAGTGTTAAACACTTGTAAAATTAAATCATATATTTGTTACTGTTTGGTTATTTTCAGATGTTCTTCCAGACCCTCCAGATGGGCCCCCAGTAATAGAGGCGGTTACTGGCAAGACTATCACCCTGAGCTGGAAGAAACCCCGGAGGCTGGATCCCTCTATTGGTCATTTTCATTTCACTAGCAATTCTATAATTCAACATAATGTGGACTGTGGAGCCATGGTTCCCTGTATTTCAAGAGTTAGCTGCTAGACAGTTGTAACAGCACCCAATAAAAAAGAAAAATGAAGTTAAGGATTATGTATATCTTTACAGAATATTGAGTACGATGAGGCTGGAGGTATCACATCTATATCCGTAGTACAGGAAAACCATCTATACTGAAGTAAAATATAAATGCAACATGTAAATTGTTGGTCCCATGTTTTATGAGCTGAAATAAAAGATCCCAGAAATGTTCCATACGCACAAAAAACGTATTTCTCTCAAATTTGGTATACAAATTTGTTTACATCCCTGTTAGTGAGCATTTCACCATTGCCAAGATAATCCATCCACCTGACAGGTGTGGGATATCAAGAACCTGATTAAACAGCATGATCATTACACAGGTGCAGCTTGTGCTGGGGACAATAAAAGGCCACTATAAATGTGCAGTTTTGTCACACAACACAATGCCACAGATGCGTGCAATTGGCATGCTGACTGCAGGAATGTCCACCAGAGCTGTTGCCAGAGTATTTAATGTTCATTTCTCTACCATAAGCCGCGTCCAATTTCATTTTCTGCACAAACTGTCAGAAACCATCTCAGGGAAGCTCATCTACATGTTCGTCATCCTGACCAGGGTCTTGAGCTGACTGCAGTTTGGCGTCGTAACCGACTTCAGTGGGCAAAGGCTAATCTTCGATGACCACTGGCACGCTGGAGAAGTGTGCTCTTCACAGATTAATCTGTACCGGGCAGATGGCAGACGTGTGGGCGAGCGGGTTGATGATGTCAACATTGTGAACAGAGTGCCCCATGGTGGAGGTGGGGTTATGGTATGGGCAGGCATAAGCACAAATGCACTTTATCGATGGCAATTTGAATGCACTTTAGATACCATGACGAGATCCTGAGGCCCATTGTTGTGCCATTCATCCACCCTCATCACCTCATGTTTCAGCATGGTAATGCATGGCCCCATGTCGCAAGGATCTGTACACAATTCCTGGAAACTGAAAATATCCCAGTTCTTCCATGGCCTGCATACTCACCAGACATATCACCCATTGAGCATGTTTGGGATGCTCTGGATCAACGTGTACGACAGCGTGTTCCAGTTCCCGCCAATATCCAGCAACCTCAGACAGCCATTGAAGAGGAGTGGGACAACATTCCACCGGCCACAATCAACTGTTGCCTGATCAACTCTATAAGAAGGAGATGTGTCGCGCCGCATGAGGCAAATGGTGGTTCCATCAGATATTGACTGGTATCTGTGACCAACAGATGCATATCTGTATTCCCAGTCATGTGAAATCTATAGATTAGGGCCTAATGAATTTATTTAAATTGACTGATTTCCTTATATGAACTGTAACTCAGTAAATTTTTTGAAATTGTTGCATGTTGCATTTATATTTTTGTTCAGTGTAGTACATATTCAAGTTAATTCTGTTTGAATGCCATTCCAAAAGGTCAAAGTCATGCTCTGTCTACATGCATTCACACATATCAAAAATTTATGTTTGCCATTGCAGATCCCAACACGTTGATGTATGCCATCCAACAACAAGCGTTGGGCTCGATCCAGTGGACCATCATAGTGTCCAGTCTGAAAGACCCTTGCTACACAGTGACCACCTGCTCCAAAGGAGTCTGCTATGCATTCAGGGTCTTGTCAGTCACCACCAAGGCCTTTAGCAAACCCTCTCCGTCCACAGACCCAGTGCAACTTGTCAACAGAGGTATGAGCTGTCAATTGAGAGCAAAATGAATTGATGACTTGATGCTTATATTAGTGGCTGCTGGCAAGGGCTGGTTTAATACAATCTAAGCATGGATTGCACTCTGTCCTTGTCCAATGACTGCTGACAAGGCATGGAACAAATATGTCGTTTTGAAAATGTGATGAACTATCCCTTTAAAGAGATTTCATTTCTCCCAAGGTCCATATCTTCAGGAGGCTCCGGTGATCATTGATAAGCCAGACATAGTCTATGTCCAGGAGAACCAGTCAATCAGCATCGCCATCACTCTGAACCACGTCAATGCTTCAGTTACCTGGAAGAGGCAAGTCAAGCACTGTATCACTACAGCTGGTACACTAACAATAATGTATTAACATGGTCATTTTAAGCAGATGCTTAACATTTTAATATACAATTTAAATCATATTTAGTATACACTCAGTGTACAAACATTACGTGCAACTGCTCTTTCCATGACATAGACTGACCAGGTGAATCCAGGTGAAAGCTATGATCTCTTATTGATGTCACTTGTTAAATCCACTTCAATCAGTGTTGATGAAGGTGAGGAGACAGGTTAAAGAAGGATTTTTAAACCTTGAGACAATTGAGATATGGACTGTTTATGTGTGCCAAGATTTAAGTGCCTTTGAACGGAGTATGGTAGTAGGTGCCAGGTGCACCTGTGTGTGTAAAGAGCAGCAACGCTGCTGGGTTTTTCACACTCAACAGTTTCCCGTGTGTATCAAGAATGGTCCACCATCCAAAGGACATCCAGCCAACTTGACACAACTGTGGAAAGCATTGGGGTCAACATGTTACAGCATCCTTGTGGAATGCTTTCGACAACTTGTAGAGTCCATTCCCGACAAATTGAGGCTGTTCTGAGGGCAAAAGGGACGGGTGCAACTCAATGTTAGGAAGGTGTCTGTCGTGGAAATTCTACACAAGGGACAGTCGAAGTCAATCTTAAATTAATAATTGTTTATTAACAGTTAACTGGAGAGGTTCCAACAAACTTGATGTACCATAGTACATGTCTGTCAGGTGCTCTGTCGGGGCAGTCCCGTTAGATCTCTTATATACAGTGAGGGAAAAAAGTATTTGATCCCCTGCTGATTTTGTACGTTTGCCCACTGACAAAGACATGATCAGTCTATAATTTTAATGGTAGGTTTATTTGAACAGTGAGAGACAGAATAACAACAACAAAAATCAAGAAAAACGCATGTCAAAAATGTTATCAATTGATTTGCATTTTAATGAGGGAAATACAGGGATGCTGTAACATGTTGACCCCAATGCTTTCCACAGTTGTGTCAAGTTGGCTGGATGTCCTTTGGATGGTGGACCATTCTTGATACACACGGGAAACTGTTGAGTGTGAAGAATTGAGTGTGATTTGTTACAACAGGTGTAGACCTTAGAGTGAAATGCTTACTTACAAGCCCTTAACCAACAATGCAGTTTTAAGAAAAATAAGTGTTAAATAAAAAATAGGTAAGTGAAAATAAAAAAATAACAAATAATTAAAGAGCATCAGTAAAATAACAGTAGTGAGGCTGTATACAGGGGGTACCGGTACAGAGTCAATGTGCAGGGTCACAGGTTAGTCAAGGTAATTGAGGTAATATGTACATGTGGGTTGACTATACATAATAATAATAAACAGAGAGTAGCAGCAGCGTAAAAAGACGGGGTGGGGGGGGGGACAATACAAATAGTCCAGGTAGCCATTTGATTAGCTGTTCAGGAGTGTTATGGCTTGGGGGTAGAAGCTGTTAAGAAGCCTTTTGGACCTAGACTTGGCGCTCTGGTACCGCTTGCAGAGAGAACAGTCTATGACTAGGGTGGCTGGAGTCTTTGGCAATTTTTAGGGCCTTTTTCTGGCACTGCCTGGTATAGACGTCCTGGATGGCAGGAAGCTTGGCCCCAGTGATGTACTGGACCGTACGCATTACCCTCTGTAGTGCCTTGCGGACGGAGGCCAAGCAGTTGCCATACCAGGTGGTGATGCAACAGTCAGGATGCTCTCGGTGTTGCAGCTGTAGAACTTTTTGAGGATTTGATGACCATGCCAAATCTTTTCAGTCTTCTGAGGGGGAATAGGCTTTGTAGAGCCCTCTTCACGGCTGTCTTGGTGTGATTGTACCATGATAGTTTTTTGGTGATGTGGACACCAAGGAACTTGAAGCTCTCAACCTGCTCCACTACAGCCCGTCGATGAGAATGGGGGCGTGCTCGGTCCTCCTTTTCCTGTAGTCCACAATCATCTCCTTTGTCTTGGTCACGTTGAGGGAGAGGTTGTTGTCCTGGCACCACACGGCCAGGTCTCTGACCTCCTCCCTATAGGCTGTCTAATCGTTGTCGGTGATCAGGCCTACCACTGTTGTGTTGTCGGCAAACTCAATGATGGTGTTTGAGTCGTGCTTGGCCATGCCGTCATGGGTGAACAGGGAGTACAGGAGGGGATTGAGCACACACCCCTGAGGGGCCCCTGTGTTGAGGATCAGCGTGGCAGATGTGTTGTTACCTACCCTTACCACCAGGGGGCGGCCCGTCAGGAAGTCCAGGATCCAGTTGCAGAGGGAGGTGTTTAGTCCCAGGGTCCTTAGCTTAGTGATGAGCTTTGAGGGTACTATGGTGTTGAACGCTGAGCTGTAGTCAATGAATAGCATTCTCACGTAGGTGTTCCTTTTTTCCAGGTGGGAAAGAGCAGTGTGGAGTGCAATAGAGATTGCATCATCTGTGGATCTGTTGGGGCGGTATGCAAATTGGAGTGGGTCTAGGGTTTCTGGATAATGGTGTTGATATGAGCCATGACCAGCCTTTCAAAGCACTTCATGGCTACAGACGTGAGTGCTACGGGTTAGTAGTCATTTAGGCAGGTTACCTTAGTGTTCTTGGGCACAGAGATTATGGTGGTCTGCTTAAAACATGTTGGTATTACAGACTCAGTCAGGGACAGGTTGAAAATGTCAGTGAAGACACTTGCCAGTTGGTCAGCGCATGCTCGGAGTACACGTCCTGGTAATCCGTCTGGCCCTGCGTCCTTGTGAATGTTGACCTGTTTAAAGGTCTTACTCACATCGGCTACGGAGAGCATGATCACACAGTCGTCCGGAAAAGCTGATGCTCTCATGCATGCTTCAGTGTTGCTTGCCTCGAAGCGAAGCGAGCATATAAGTCATTTAGCTCGTCTGGTAGGCTAGTGTCACTGGGCAGCTCGTGGCTGTGGCGGACAAAAGGGGAAAAAACCCACCAAAAAACAAACAAACAATCAAAAAAAAAAACCCCAAAAAAAAAAAAACACACCCCACCACACCAAAACCCAACCCAACACCACCACCACCCACCACACCCCACCCCACCCCCCCATAACCCCCCCCCCCCCCCCCCCCCCCCCCCCCCCCCCCCCCCCCCACACTTATACTCCCCTATCATCTCGCCGATCTTACCGCAGAGTTACATGGTCAGGGAGTCAGAGGGCTAATCCCGACACCCAGCAGACCCAATCTGGTGAGATTTGTATTGAAGCAAGACAAAAATAAAACACACAAAACAACAACAGCAATACACTTCTTCATATAGCACTCGAGGTGGGGAAAACTTCAATCCATTTGGAGTAACTGTCAACCATTACCAACATATCTTTTTTCCTTTTAGAGGCAGGCATGTGAAGAAAATCAAGTTGCATATTTACTCAAGGGCCCCAGGGGACTGGTAATTCCCCCTTTGGACAAATTATTCACATTGTGATTCATGCATCCAAAAAAAAAAACAACACTGCCTGTTAAATCAAAATATCAAATACAATTTGAATGACAATCCTTGATGACTCCATCTTAACTTAATTTTATTCCATAAGGTATTTCAAGGAGTAGTAAAATAGACAGAGACAGGTGTCCCTCATTCAGGGGCAGCGCTCTCTCTCTGTCCTTCTCGTGGTCCGAATCACACATAGAACTATTGCTAAATTATAAACGTCTTCCTAATTATTAGTGTTTACATAGCCCATTTAAATCTCACCCAATGTCTCTAGTCTTTCTAGTGAGGGTGATCAGGCCTCACCAGAAAGTCATAAGAGGTCAGAGGTCATTCAACCCCATTAAGTGAGTGTTTCTTTCCCTGTACCTCAGATATTATTTAAAGATATTTCAAACATTTTGTGTATCAGGTTTACATTGGGTTTTTCAGTACATTTCTTATCAAGAGAATTTACATGTGTGCAACCAAAACTCTGACAAGATACTTTAGAAATTTTCATTTGTGTGCCCTTTAAGGTGCATCCTTTCTAACCCGTGAAAAACCCACTAAAACCAAAATAAAAAGACCCCACACAATAAATCAGTATTACCCCACCCCTAACAAATATTAATTTGGTAAAAACAAACAAAATGGCCAGGCCTTACTTAATTTGGGAGCTCCCTTAACAACCGGATCCGGGTACCTTTATACTGTATAGTACACAGTCTCAATAACTGCTCTCCTAAGGCACCTGCCTCAGGAAGCCTTTCAAAGGCAGAGATACAGAATCACTGATAAACATGTCCAAAAAAAACTTGGTAGCGGACATTCCATCAGTTCTGTGAGAAAGAAAATAAACATATACTTAATTGGGTTTACTGCTTCTTGGGAAGAAAGTCTTGATAAAACCATGCGTATACATAATTATACATTTACATTACATTTTAGTCATTTAGCAGACGCTCTTATCCAGAGCGACTTACAGGAGCAATTAGGGTTAAGTGCCTTGCTCAAGGGCACATTTACGTCATTTAGCAGACGCTCTTATCCAGAGCGACTACAAATTGGTGCATTCACCCTATAGCCAGTGGGATAACCACTTTACAATTATTATTATTTATTTATTTATTTTATTTGTTTATTTATTTTATTATTATTATTTTTTTTTTTGGGGGGGGGGGTAGAAGGATTACTTTATCCTATCCCAGGTGTTCCTTAAAGAGGTGGGGTTTCAAATGTCTCCGGAAGGTGGTGAGTGACTCCGCTGTCCTGGCGTCGTGAGGGAGCTTGTTCCACCATTGGGGTGCCAGAGCAGCGAACAGTTTTGACTGGGCTGAGCGGGAACCATGCTTCAGACACATCAGATGATAAGATGTCCCATAAAGCTGAATAGGCACCTTCTAAAGTAAACAATACCAGACCCCTCTCTTGTAATCTTATTATTTTTGACCTGTTGCATTGACATACAGTTCTGCACTAACTGTCCCTGGGACAAAAACTAGTCAAAATATGAAACCTGTTGTTTAACAAATCTGCTAGGACCTTCAAAAGTTGGTGCTGGCTTATCAGCTCAATATTCGTACTAAAAACATTTACTCTAATCTACTTAAATCCTGGACACAGTTCCATGTAATGGAAACAGATTATTGTTTTAGATGACATTACCTTCTTACTTAAATCACTGGTGCTACCCAAACTATAGAATTTAGTAATAATAATTGGAAATAGTCAAAAACGTCTCTTATTCAATTATTCATACCTCGGACCCAAATTTCCCACTATGTCCGTTACAGCCTGTTTGAGTTTAGTAAGTACTGGCGGCTATCTATTGTTCCACAGGAAACTTATCTCTAACGCAAACACCAGATGGCGGCCTCTAATTTAATATCAGTCCCAATGCTCAATCCCTTTGTTCATCATGTGACCTTGTATTGAAACATTTACTTCTTCAAATTACTAAGATATTGCATTATTAGAATGCTATCTGAAAGCCACTAATATTACCATTCACTGTGTTACTTTCACTAGTCTCCATATCTGTTTCCCTCAAATAGGACTCCCTTCTTCCCAATAGGAAGACCTTCTCAATCTCTACTGCTAATACACTCGGATCACTCTCAAACAATATTCTGCTCTTCCACCTATTGCAAGGTTTAAAAATAAACAAAACAAATATGATAACTTTCTCCATATTGGAAGGCATTGTTTTAATTTTAGTCTACCCTAACAATGTTACCTCTTAATATATATTACCAATTTCTGTTGGATATTCCGTTTCTGCTTCACACTTATTAAATGTATATTATTTTAAGATGAACATGTAATGCGCTGAATTTATAAAATACATCAGCCAATTCAGAAGGGAAGAGATAAACTTTGGAGGGAACTTCCTTTTTTAAGGTAGCTATGGAGACTATAGTCTCTTTCTGGGATCAACTTTCACAATAACTGGGCTGGCACTGTCTATCAGTCCCCTATAGATGGAGTGCTCTGTCCATAATAAGTCTCTACCTAGCAAGTTAAACTCTAGTAACCCATTATACATACTTAATACTTGTATTTTTCTCCCCAATTTTTTCGATCTTGTCAAATGGCTACACCTCCCCAACGGGCTCGGGAGAGGCGAAGGTGGAGTCATGCGTCCTCCGAAACATGACCCGCCTAACCACGCTCCTTAACACGACCCGCCTAACCGCGCTCCTTAACACACGCCAGCTTAACCCAGAAGCCAGCCGCATCAATGTGTCGGAGTAAACACCGTTTAACTGGTGAGCGGAGTCAGCCTGCAGGCACCCGGCCCGCCACAAGGAGTCACTAGAGCGCGATGAGCCAAGTAAAGCCCCACCGACCAAACCCTCCCCTAACCGGACGACGCTGGGCCTATTGTGCGCCATCCTATGGGACTCCCGGCCATGGCCGGTTGTGGCATAGCCCGTGACTGAACCTGAGTCTGTAGTAATGGCTCTAGCACTGTGATGCAGTGCCTTAGACTGCTGCACCACTCGGGAGGCCCTACTTAATACTTTTTACACCACTTATGTACGTCTACGTGTGGGTGTGCAAGTTGTATATTATTCTTCAACGATTCTAAATGCCTACAATAACAATAACTTGTGCTATTATCAGTGGTTCAGACCACGTATACTTTTCTATCGTTACATCCTATGCACCATATGTATCTTCAACGGTTCTCTTGCCGCTACTTCCTATACATATAAAACACCTGTGCTCAATAACACTTGTGCTAGTAGTCTCAGACTACGATGGGCAGTGGTGGACGGAACCCCTAGATAACAGAACCGTAGATAACGTTATAGATCAAAAAACTCAGCTCACACAGAACTGGAAAACTCAGCTCACACAGAACTGGTTGGGGTATTCATTCAGACCTCTTTCACACCGGAGCTAGTCCTCTGACAGCTCTCATTCACTCAGGACTTAATAGCAAAATTTCAATCCTCTTATTATCCAAATTTCAATCAGTTTATAATCCACATTTCAATCTTTCTTGTTATCCAACTTTCAATCAGCTTATTATCCAAATTTCAATCAGCTTAGCACGTCCTTTCCACATTCACACAACTTTCACATCCACATTCACTTAGTACTATTCCCAAACACACTCGATAATCTCCCTTATTACCCATGTGCATCTATGCATCTTTCACATACATGTATAATAACACCACGTGCTATTAGTAGTGGCTGCAGACCACATAAACACTTCTCTTATAAATGCCTATAGACAGCTGTCGGCGGGGCTGTCCATGGTACCGTTACGCACTCACTCCAGTCTTCTCATAAGAATAGTGAATAGCCTTCTTTCTATAAGACTATGGGTACCTTTTTATGCGTAACTCGTCTTAATTTGATTGGTTTGATCATTTATTTATATTTTTATACAAATTCATTTAAATTGACTTACTGAAATTCAGAAGACATGTCCCTCTTTTGTTCGCGGATGATGTCTCCTCCTGGGCAGCTCATAGTAAGGGTCTGGGCGTGACTCGTCCTCTTTTTGTCAGACGGGAATTTCCCTCACGCTTCCATGCGCCACAGGTTTTCCTCGCAGACCCTCACTGGAATGCTCCGCAGGCAGAATCAGTTATCCTGTTTGTTGACGCCAAATTGTTGTGGAAATTCTACACATGGGACACTCGAAGTCAATCTGAAATGAATCATTGTTTATTAACAGTTAACTGGAGAGGTTCCAACAAACTTGATACACCATAGTACACGTCTGTCAGGAGCTCTGTCGGGGCAGTCCTGTTAGATCTCTGATATACTTACACAGACAAGTTGTATTTGCGTGATTTAGCTTATTCATCATTGATAATTAATTAATCATTAACTTTTTGGTTCATGCATGTGACCGACCGATACCTCACGAGGATTCTTCTCTCCAAGCTGAGATCTTGAAACTGAGGTATCCTTTTGTTCTCAAGACAAGGTTCTGGGCGTACTGCCAAATAGCAGATACTGATAGTGAGGATTCGTTCAATCAGTCACTTGCATGAACATAGATATTGGTTATTAGAAAAGCACAAACATAAAATGTTCCATCACATGTCCTTAATGTTTTGTACACTCAGTGTATGTGGCCCATGTCGGAATCAAACCCATAACCTTGATATTGCCAGCACCCAACACCACGACAATGGGATATGTAAGATGTCTTATTGTTCTCTGTGATTAGGAGTGGAGTGGTCCTTGCCATCAAACCTGGGCTGTATGAGATGAGTATGCCTGATGACGACCAACACTCTCTGAAGATCCTGAGGGTGAAGAGTGGTGATGTGGGTCAACTGATGTGTGTTGCCTCCAACAAGTTTGGCATCGACTCCTGCATCTTTAGTGTGGAAATGGCAGGTGAGTGTAATAATGACGGATTATGATAATGGATTGGATTTACAGTATGTACACTACCAGTCAAAAGTTTGGACACACCAACTCATTCAAGGGTTTTTCTTTATTTTTTACTATTTTCTACATTATAGAATAATAGTGAAGACATCAAAACTATGAAATAACACATAGGGAATCATGTCGTAACCAAAAAAGTGTTAAACAAATCAAAATCAAATTTATATTTGAGATTCTTCAAATATCCACCCTTTGCCTTGATGACAGCTTTGCACACTCTTGGCATTCTCTCAACCAGCTTCATGAGGTAGTCACCTGGAATGCATTTCAATTAACAGGTGTGCCTTCTTAAAAGTTAATGTGTGGAATTTCTTTCCTCCTTAATACGTTTCAGCCAATCAGTTGTGTTGTGACAAGGTAGTGGGTTATACAGAAAATAGCCCTATTTGGTAAAAGACCAAGTCCAAATTATGGCAAGAACAGCTCAAATAAGCAAAGAGAAACGACAGTCCATCATTACTTTAAGACATGAAGGTCAGTCAATACGGAACATTTCAAGAACTTTGAACGTTTCTTCAAGTGCAGTCGCAAAAACCATCAAGCGCTATGATGAAACTGGCTCTCATGAGGACCGCCACAGGAATGGAAGACCCAGAGTTACCTCTGCTGCAGAGGCTAAGTTCATTAGAGTTACCAGCCTCAGAAATTGAAGCCCAAATAAATACGTCACAGAGTTCAAGTAACAGACACATCTCAACACCCACTGTTCGGAGTGGACTGTGTGAATCAGGCCTTAATGGTCGAATTGCTGAAAAGAAACCACTACTAAAGGACACCAATAAGAAGGAGACGTGATTGGGCCAAGAAACACGAGCAATAGACATTAGACCGGTGGAAATGTGTCCTTTGGTCTGGAGTCCAAATGTGAGATTTTTGGTTCAAACCGCCCTGTCTTTGTGAGACGCGGTGTGGGTGAACGGATGATCTCTGCATGTGTAGTTCCCACCGTAAAGCATGGCGGAGGAGGTGTTATGGTGTGGGAGGGCGTTGCTGGTGACACTGTCTCTGATTTATATAGAAATCAAGGCACACTTAACCAGCATGGCTACCTCAGCATTATGCAGCGATACGCCATCCCATCTGGTTTGGGCTTAGTGGGACTATCATTTGTTTTTTAACAGGGCAATGACCCAACACACCTCCAGGCTGTGTAAGGGCTATTTTACCAAGAAGGAGAGTGATGGAGTGCTGCATCAGATGACCTGGCCTCCACAATCCCTGACCTCAACCCAATTGAGATGGTTTGGGATGAGTCGGACTGCAGAGTGAAGGAAAAGCAGCCAACAATTGCTCAGCATATGTGGGAACTCCTTCAATACTGTTGGAAAAGCATTCCAGGGGAAGCTGGTTGAGAGAATGCCAAGAGTGTGCAAAGCTGTCATCAAGGCAAAGGGTGGCTGTTTGAAGAATCTCAAATATAAATTTGATTTTGATTTGTTTAACACTTTTTTGGTTACTACATGAGTCCATGTGTTATTTAATAGTTTTGATGTCTTCAATGTTATTCTACAATGTAAAAAAAATTGTGAAAATAAAGAAAAACCAATGAATGAGTAGGTGTGTCCAAACTTTTGACTGGTACTGTATATACAGTATATCTCTTTACTGCTGCTCAAAGTGCTTTGCATTGTTTGGGAGAGGAAACACTTCTCAGCCACTACAGTAATGGCTATTAAGAAGTTAGCTACTTTTCAAAATGCCTTGCTACATGCAGCAAGGTACATCGTCAGGAAATTTTGTCTGCTTCATGTTTTGTTTCCTTGCCCTGATACTTTGAGTATCGAGATACTGAGTATTGTGAGAACAGTATCTAAAACATTTTCATGTTTCCTCTCTGTAGCACCACCAACCTTTGAGTCCATCATGGAGGATGTGGATGTACACATGGGGGAGACGCCTCGCTTGGCTGTGGTTGTGGAGGGCAAGCCCATTCCCGACATCCTGTGGTTTAAGGTGCATACATGGTTACACATATATATTTGAGTGTGTATATCATTGTAACCCTTTATGAAGTTGCACACTCATGCCATATACAGTACCAGTCAAACGTTTGGACACACCTACTCATTCAAGTGTTTTTCTTTATTTTTACTATTTTCTACATTGTAGAATATAAGTGAAGACATCAAAACTATGAAATAGCACATATGGAATCATGTAGTAACCAAAAAAGTGTTAAACAAATCAAAATATATTTTATATTTGAGATTCTTCAAATAGCCACCCTTTGCCTTGATGACAGCTTTGCACACTCTTGGCATTCTCTCAAACAGCTTCACCTGGAATGCTTTTTCAACAGTATTGAAGGAGTTCCCACATATGCTGAGCACTTGTTGGCTGCTTTTCCTTCACTCCGCCGTCCGACTCATCCCAAACCATCTCAATTGGGTGGTCAGGGGATTGTGGAGACCAGGTCATCTGATGCAGCACTCCATCACTCTCCTTCTTGGTAAAATAGTCCTTACACAGCCTGGAGGAGTGTTGGGTCATTGTCCTGTTGAAAAACAAATGATAGTCTCACTAAGGCCAAACCAGTTGGGATGGCGTATCTCTGCAGAATGCTGTGGTAGCCATGCTGGTTAAGTGTGCCTTGAATTCTAAATAAATCACTGACATTGTCACGAGCAAAGCACCCCACACCATAACACCTCCCCTTCAATGCTTTACTGTGGGAACTACACATGCAGAGATCATCCGTTCACCCACACCGCGTCTCACAAAGACACAGCGGTTGGAACCAAACATATCCAATTCGGACTCCAGACCAAAGGACAAATGTAATGTCCATTGCTCGTGTTTCTTGGCCCAAGCAGGTCTCTTTGTCTTATTGGTATCCTTTAGCAGTGGTTTCTTTGCAGCAATTCGACCCTTATTGCCTGATTTACACAGTCCCCTCTGAACAGTTGATGTTGAGATGTGTCTGTTACTTGAACTCTGTTAATCATTTATTTGGGCTAATTTCTTGAAATGTTCCGTATTGACTGACCTTCATGTCTTAAAGTAATGATGGACTGTTGTTTCTCTTTGCTTATTTGAGTTGGTCTTGCCATAATATGGACTTGTTTTTTTACCAAATAGGGCTATGTTCTGTATACCCCCCCTACCTTGTCACAACACAACTGATTGGCTCAAACGCATTAAGAAGGAAATACATTCCACAAATTAACTTTTAAGAAGGCACACTTGTTAATTGAAATGAATTCCAGGTGACTACCTCATGAAGCTGGTTGAGAGAATGCCAAGAGTGTGCAAAGCTGTCATCAAGGCAAAGGGTGGCTATTTGAAGAATCTCAAATATAAAATATATTTTGATTTGTTTAACACTTCTTTGGTTACTAAATGATTCCATATGTGTTATTTCATAGTTTTGATGTCTTCACTATTATTCTACAATGTAAAAAATAGTAAAAATAAAGTAAAACCCTTGAATGAGTAGGTGTGTCCAACCTTTTGATTGGTAGTGTATGTACTCTATAGCTAACTAGTTTGATAACCAGAATGTAGCTACTCCGCTGATAACTGCTGAGAAGGTACATAAACAATGACTTGTAGTGACAGGACACTCTCCAAATTATGTTTCAAATTAGTTTATAATATAGTGGTCCCACTTAAAATTAATTGCAGCTTATAAAGGCTTCATAAAGCTTACATAAAGCCTTCATAAACACTACATAAATGTGTCACAAATCATCTATGACTGTATGTCATGCTTAATAAAGAGTTAATAGATGTGGCATAACTGTGTGACATTATTACCAATGTCAAATGTGACATAACCCACTATGTCGTATATGACATAAACCTTTGCTTCTTAAAGGGTGACATAAGCACAGCATACTAAAGGCTTTATAAATCATATTAAATTGAGGCATCACAAAACATCTATAACCTTGTCATACACCCTGCCGAAAGATCAGCTACAGAATGTTGGCACCATTGTAACAGGTTGTAATCAAGCCCTGGTCTCCAGCATGGGAACAGAATACCTGGTGGCTAGGTAGTCTCAGGTAGGACTACTCCATATCACACAAACACAAGCTTTGCAGGTCCATCAACCCATCTAAATTCCCCTCACACCCTACAGTAACCTGTGGATCATGAGATAATTGGCAGAGTGTTTATAATCTACTTCTTGACACTTAATGTACTGTCCTGTAATACTTCATTTGAAGTGAGACACCTTTGGTTATTCATAACACATCCATAAAGACTATATATCACTTGACACTGTACCCTCCCTATTCCTGACACAAGGGATGTAAAATAAAAATGTAAACAATACAAATACACTAAGTGTCAAAAGGTCCAGCAATCAAATCAAATCAAATTGTATTTGTCACATGCGCCGAATACAACCTTACAGTGAAATTCTTACTTACAAGCCCTTAACCAACAATGGAGTTTTAAGACAAATAAGTGTTAAGTAAAAAATAGATACGTAAAAATAAAAAAAGAAGAGAAATAGAAAAGTAACAAATAATTAAAGAGCAGCAGTAAAATAACAGTAGCGAGGCTATATACAGGGGGTACCGGTACAGAGTCAATGTGTGGGGGCACAGGTTAGTCGAGGTAATTTAGGTAATATGTACATTAGGGTAGAGGTAAAGTGACTATGCATAGATAATAAACAGAGAGTAGCAGCAGCGTAAAAATAGGGGTGGGGGGAGGGACAATGCAAATAGTCTGGGTAGCCATTTGATTAGCTGTTCAGGAGTCTTATGGCTTGGGGTAGAAACTGTTAAGAAGCCTTTTGGACCTAGACTTGGCGCTCCGGTACCGCTTGCCGTGCGGTAGCAGAGAGAACAGTCTATGACTAGGGTGGCTGGAGTCTTTGACAATTGTGAGGGCCTTCCTCTGATACTGCCTGGTATAGAGGTCCTGGATGGCAGGAAGCTTGGCCCCAGTGATGTACTGGGCTGTACGCATTACCCTCTGTAGTGCCTTGCTGTCAGAGGCCGAGCAGTTGCCATACCAGGCGGTGATGCAACCAGTCCGGATGCTCTCGATGGTGCAGCTGTAGAACTTTTTGAGGATCTGGGGACCCATGCCAAATCTTTTCAGTCTCCTGAGGGGGAATAGGCATTGTCGTGCCCTCTTCACGACTGTCTTGGTGTGTTTGGACCATGATAGTTTGTTGGTGATGTGGACACCAAGGAACTTGAAGCTGTCAACCTGCTCCACTACAGCCCTGTTGATGAGAATGGGGGCATGCTTGGTCCTCCATGCAGTCATGGGTGAACAGGGAGTACAGGAGGGAACTGAGCACGCACCCCTGAGGGGCCCCCATGTTGAGGATCAGCGTGGCAGATGTGCAATGCAATTACACTGAACATTACACAGGGCTGGGAGGAGTGTAGCTTGTCCCCGAGCTGGCGGATTAATGGTTCCTGCCTCTGCCTGCTGGAGGTACTGCATGTTGGTTTCAACCTTGAAAGTAACAACAAAGAAAGTTTAGCAGATCTGTTAGAAATGCCTTTGTCGCATCATCTGGATAAGGGCATTTCTGTGCTGCACTGAGAGGACAGATGGACTGTATTGTATAAATGGTCCTACTACGTGTTTTTATTTAGCCTGTATACTTACAGGTTGTATATATTAGGGGTGAATCATTTCCCCATTCATTCTGTATGATGATGGAGGCAGGATGGCAGGAACCACCTTCAGGGCCACATCGCCAAATGGGTCTATGGGGGAAAACAACATCTCAAATAAATCTCAAATGATTGATGTGATCAGTTAAATACACTGCTCAAAAAAATAAAGGGAACACTAAAATAACACATCCTAGATCTGAATGAATGAAATAATCTTATTAAATACTTTTTTCTTTACATAGTTGAATGTGCTGACAACAAAATCACACAAAAATTATCAATGGAAATCAAATGTATCAACCCATGGAGGTCTGGATTTGGAGTCACCCTCAAAATTAAAGTGGAAAACCACACTACAGGCTGATCCAACTTTGATGTAATGTCCTTAAAACTAGTCAAAATGAGGCTCAGTAGTGTGTGTAGCCTCCACGTGCCTGTATGACCTCCCTACAACGCCTGGGCATGCTCCTGATGAGGTGGCGGATGGTCTCCTGAGGGATCTCCTCCCAGACCTGGACTAAAGCATCCACCAACTCCTGGACAGTCTGTGGTGCAACGTGGCGTTGGTGGATGGAGTGAGACATGATGTCCCAGATGTGCTCAATTGGATTCAGGTCTGGGGAACGGGCGGGCCAGTCCATAGCATCAATGCCTTCCTCTTGCAGGAACTGCTGACACACTCCAGCCACATGAGGTCTAGCATTGACTTGCATTAGGAGGAACCCAGGGCCAACCACACCAGCATATGGTCTCACAAGGGGTCTGAGGATCTCATCTCGGTACCTAATGGTAGTCAGGCTACCTCTGGCGAGCACATGGAGGGCTGTGCGGCTCCCCAAAGAAATGCCACCCCACACCATGACTGACCCACCGCCAAACCGGTCATGCTGGAGGATGTTGCAGGCAGCAGAACGTTCTCCACGGCGTCTCCAGACTCTGTCACGTCTGACACATGTGCTCAGTGTGAACCTGCTTTCATCTGTGAAGAGCACAGGGCGCCAGTGGCGAATTTGCCAATCTTGGTGTTCTCTGGCAAATGCCAAACGTCCTGCACGGTGCTGGGCTGTAAGCACAACCCCCACCTGTGGACGTCGGGCCCTCATACCACCCTCATGGAGTCTGTTTCTGACCGTTTGAGCAGACACATGCACATTTGTGGCCTGCTGGAGGTCATTTTGCAGGGCTCTGGCAGTGCTCCTCCAGCTCCTCCTTGCACAAAGGCGGAGGTAGCGGTCCTGCTGCTGGGTTGTTGCCCTCCTACGGCCTCCTCCACGTCTCCTGATGTACTGGCCTGTCTCCTGGTAGCGCCTCCATGCTCTGGACACTACGCTGACAGACACAGCAAACCTTCTTGCCACAGCTCGCATTGATGTGCCATCCTGGATGAGCTGCACTACCTGAGCCACTAGTGTGGGTTGTAGACTCCGTCTCATGCTACCACTAGAGTGAAAGCACCGCCAGCATTCAAAAGTGACCAAAACATCAGCCAGGAAGCATAGGAACTGAGAAGTGGTCTGTGGTCACCACCTGCAAAACCAGTCCTTTATTGGGGGTGTCTTGCTAATTGCCTATAATTTCCACCTGTTGTCTATTCCATTTGCACAACAGCATGTGAAATTTATTGTCAATCAGTGTTGCTTCCTAAGTGGACAGTTTGATTTCACAGAAGTGTGATTGACTTGGAGTTACATTGTGTTGTTTAAGTGTTCCCTTTATTTTTTTGAGCAGGGCAATAATATGTTGAATTCCATAATAAACAAATAAAGTATGATGTCAAAAGCATCATTATGATAGGCTTAGTATATCTTTCATATTATCTTACCGTTAGAAGGGTTTCAGCATCTTCTGCGAGGTCACTTGCCCTCTCCTTCTCCTATGGAAGACAACAACTTACGTCCGATGCCACTCTGTCACTCATAGCCCGTCACAGGTCACTCCTGCATTTGAAGAAACATAAAAGATAGATATTTTTAAACAATGTCCAAGAATGAATAGATGGATGCTCAAACCATACATTTTATTAAAAGTCTTAAATGAAAGGTCTCTGTCTGTCCTAACCTGTCAGCGATGTCGGCAGTTAGTGCAGCAGTCTGGGGATGAAGTTGTTGAGGAATGGGATGAGGTAGAGGAGGAGGGCATCTCAAGCATATGGGTTTGTGGGGACAGTTTGGGTCTCAGTGCCTTCCTTGGCTACCTGGAGATTTTAGTAAAAGAGATAAGAGTCAAGGCAACACAAGAACCAATGCAATAACAACCAATGCAAAGCAATTCATATGCTGCATCTCAATGCAATAAAAACAAATGGAATGCAATTCATACATTTCATTTATGAGATTACAAAACAAATAGACCTAGCTAGCTAGCTAACTGTTTTCTGAGCTAGACTCACCTTCAATATCTTTATCAGGATTTTCTACTCTGTTGTCCTGCACAAACAGTGTCTGTAACAATACAAAAGTAAATATTATAGAGACAGCTTAGGCCTTTTTCATTTACAAATCTCATTACATGAGTGTGGCTATGAGATATACAGTGGGGAAAAAAAGTATTTAGTCAGCCACCAATTGTGCAAGTTCTCCCACTTAAAAAGATGAGAGCGGCCTGTAAATTTCATCATAGGTACACGTCAACTATGACAGACAAATTGAGAAAAAAATATCCAGAAAATCACATTGTAGGATTTTTAATGAATTTATTTGCAAATTATGGTGGAAAATAAGTATTTGGTCACCTACAAACAAGCAAGATTTCTGGCTCTCACAGACCTGTAACTTCTTCTTTAAGAGGCTCCTCTGTCCTCCACTCGTTACCTGTATTAATGGCACCTGTTTGAACTTGTTATCAGTATAAAAGACACCTGTCCACAACCTCAAACAGTCACACTCCAAACTCCACTATGGCCAAGACCAAAGAGCTGTCAAAGGACACCAGAAACAAAATTGTAGACCTGCACCAGGCTGGGAAGACTGAATCTGCAATAGGTAAGCAGCTTGGTTTGAAGAAATCAACTGTGGGAGCAATTATTAGGAAATGGAGGACATACAAGACCACTGATAATCTCCCTCGATCTGGGGCTCCACGCAAGATCTCACCCCGTGGGGTCAAAATGATCACAAGAACGGTGAGCAAAAATCCCAGAACCACATGGGGGGACCTAGTGAATGACCTGCAGAGAGCTGGGACCAAAGTAACAAAGCCTACCATCAGTAACACACTACGCCGCCAGGGACTCAAATCCTGCAGTGCCAGACGTGTCTCCCTGCTTAAGCCAGTACATGTCCAGGCCCGTCTGAAGTTTGCTAGAGTGCATTTGGATGATCCAGAAGAGGATTGGGAGAATGTCATATGGTCAGATGAAACCAAAATAGAACGTTTTGGTAAAAACTCAACTCGTCGTGTTTGGAGGACAAAGAATGCTGAGTTGCATCCAAAGAACACCATACCTACTGTGAAGCATAGGGGTGGAAACATCATGCTTTGGGGCATTTTTTCTGCAAAGGGACCAGGATGACTGATCCGTGTAAAGGAAAGAATGAATGGGGCCATGTATCGTGAGATTTTGAGTGAAAACCTCCTTCCATCAGCAAGGGCATTGAAGATGAAACGTGGCTGGGTCTTTCAGCATGACAATGATCCCAAACACACCGCCTGGGCAACGAAGGAGTGGCTTCGTAAGAAACATTTCAAGGTCCTGGAGTGGCCTAGCCAGTCTCCAGATCTCAACCCCATAGAAAATCTTTGGAGGGAGTTGAAAGTCTGTGTTGCCCAGCGACAGCCCCAAAACATCACTGCTCTAGAGGAGATCTGCATGGAGGAATGGGCCAAAATACCAGCAACAGTGTGTGAAAACCTTGTGAAGACTTACAGAAAACGTTTGACCTGTGTCATTGCCAACAAAGGGTATATAACAAAGTATTGAGAAACTTTTGTTATTGACCAAATACTTATTTTCCACCATAATTTGCAAATAAATTCATAAAAAATCCTACAATGTGATTTTCTGGAAAAAAATATATCATTTTGTCTGTCATAGTTGACGTGTACCTATGAAAATTACAGGCCTCTCTCATCTTTTTAAGTGGGAGAACTTGCACAATTGGTGGCTGACTAAATACTTTTTTCCCCCACTGTAGCTACTCTAGTACATTAGGGGGATTTCTATTTAGCTGAGCATATTAGCTAGCTAGCTAGCTATATTTCATTTTGATATAGCTAGCTATGCTGCTAGCTATCTAGCTAGCTAATGTTAACAATTGCTGTGAAGTCAACAAAATTATTTGAAATAACTATTTTAGTAGCCATGCAGGCATGTACACAGATAGGGATCTACTTATGCCGGAGTACCTGCCCCTTTGCCCTCCCACTCGCCAAGTGCCCTTTTGGGTGGTGGTATAATTATTATTTTAAAGAATGTACAACGTTTTTCATATTTGACATAGTGTCACATTCGACATTCAACATTATGTCACATTTGACGTTGGTTGTTATGTCACAAAGTTATGCCGCATTTATGAATCCTTTATAAAGCATGACATACTGTTGTAGATTATTTTTGACATTTATGTAGTGTTTCTGAAGGCTTTCTGAAGGCTTTCTGAAGCCTTTATAAGCTGCACATCATTTAACCTCTACGGGATCGGTGTCCCGTATACGGGACGGTTGAGCTAACGTGCGCAAATGTGATTAGCATGACTGTTGTAAGTAACAGAAAACTCTCCAGGACATACACATGTCTTATATGGGCAGAAAGCTTACATTCTTGTTGATCTAACTACACTGTCCAATTTACAGTAGCTATTACAGTGAAAAAATACCATGCTATTGTTTGAGGAGAGTGCACAACAACAAAGAACTTAGCACGTCAACTGGTTTGATACATTCACATCTGAAGGTAAATAATGTACTTACATTCAGTAATCTTGCTCTGATTTGTCATCCTAAGAGTCCCAGAGATAAAATGTAGCATAGTTCTCTTTGATAAAATCCATTATTATATTCAAATGTTGGAACTGGGTTCTACAGTTTGAACTCCTGCTGTCTCTGGCTCCACACCCACCCCGCCCGGCCATCTAGATGTGTGAAAGTTAGTGTATAAAATAATGATCCATCATGTATGACATTCCTGGGAATGTGTAAACTTATATTTTGTATTACCATATCATTTTTGTATGTTCTCTATAGTTATGTACTTGAAAATGTATCAATTGACCAATTCGGCACATTTGGGCAGACTTGATACAAAATAGTCCACTATTGCAATGAAACGTTGCACACACACTGCTTCCATCAAGTGGCCAAAATCAAAATTGCGCCTAAACTGCAATATTATATTGTGGCCTTTCTCTTGCATTTCAAAGATGATGGGACAAAAAATAAATAAAAAATACGCACGTTTTTTTGTATGTATTATCTTTTACCAGATCTAATGTGTTATATTCTCCTACATTAATTTCACATTTCCACAAACTTCAAAGTGTTTCCTTTCAAATTGTATCAAGAAATGCATATCGTTGCTTCAAGTCCTGAGCTACAGGCAGTTAGATTTGGGAATATCATTTTATGCGAAAATTGAAAAAAAAGGGTCTGATCCTTAAGAGGTTAGAGGGCAACTCCACCACTTTTCAACCTTATTTTGATTATCTCCAGCACAATTCCATTGTCTACATATGTGAAAATGGCACATTTCTATTTTTGTGGAAATAAATATAAAGTTAAAAAGTTCTACTCGATGACATCATCAAAAGTTAAGACATTTTAAAAACAGTGCTTTTTAAACACTATGAGATTCTTGGTAACGTGGGGAGCAAGAAAATACCCTCCATATGGCTAGAAACTACTTGTAAGTTTTGAAAATCACTGTTTTTGGGGCTTTTAATCCTACCCTGTGATGTCACAGAGAAGTATTTTTTAGGTCATTTCTTGTCTTTTTAACCACAGATCATATAAATGCACTATTTCCACATATGTAGACAATGGTATGGTGCTGGAGATAATGAATATGAGGTTGAAAAGTGGCAGAAGTTCATTTAAAGCGGGTCCCACATTAGTAAATGTATGTTTATTTTCATGAAATGCGATGAATTCCATAGTGACATATTGTTACTTTGTTTTAGGATGATACATTGTTGTGCGAGAGTAGTCACATCACCTTTGTGTATGATGACAACGAATGCTCCCTTGTGCTGCTCAACACAAGTCCAGAAGATTCAGGGGTGTATACCTGCACAGCCAAGAACCTGGCTGGCTTTGTGTCCTGTAAGGCTGAGCTCACCGTGCTCACAGGTAAGCCTTAGGGTACCATTCAATCAAATATGCATTCCAGTATTGACACAGAGGAATAGTCGTCTGATGTTTTCAGACCTCAAAGTAGACAAATTATGAGATATGTCCACATCCCAAGCCACCAATTGTATCGTTCCAGCTACGTATATGCCTTAATCCCCAAATGAAAGGAAAATATTAGTACCGTCTAATTTCCTGGTTGTTTTATCCTGTGATTATCTTTTCTATTCATTTGGGAGATTTGAGGAGACAGCTGGATCTACACAACCGATGTCTAAGGATGTGGATTTTTCTTGACATTAGACTACTCGTGAGGCCTAAAAACATCTGACAAACTTTAATTTTGGAGTGAAATGTCGGTTTATCATTGCTAAGCAGATTTACCTGAAACTGACCCCGTGCTTGCATCTAATACCGCTCACCAAGGACACTTATTAGTCAGATTGTTGAGATGCCGCTATGTAGAGGCAGATGTAAATTAGCAGTTGGGAATGTGATTAACACAGGCTACATTGTAATTGTGTCCTCACTTCTGTGCTACCTTGTAGTTAAAGAAGACAAGGAGGATCCAATGGAGGACAAGGAGACCGTTCTCAGGAAGATGCGCCGGCTGACTGACTACTATGACATCCACAAGGAAATAGGGAGGTGAGGCATCAGTTTGTAAATAAAGCTAGAAAAAAAAGAGCGATATAAACTAGATGGTAATTTTCCATGAAGACAAATTGTGGGACTTGCTTTAATTCTTTACAAGTATTTTTGTGGTAGTGGAAGAAGAGTTCTGATTTTAGATTTAAAAAGCAGAGAAGTAGTGTAAGATTTCATGCGCTCTAAGTTTTTGTCTAACTTGTTGGGAAAGTGGTCAAAGTAGCTGATTTGTGTCAAAAGTCACAATAGACCTTGTTCTTCGACTGCATGAAAATACATGTTTCTGGGTTGAAAATTCCAGATCACTTTCCCACAAACAAACAGTTTTCAGGAATTATCAATGGCGTGTCACACATACACAGCTTCGGCACACCCTGCGTGAACATTCGTAAACTAACAGGCTCGTGTTCAGACGATGTGATCGGGTCTGTAATGTGATTGGGTTGAATATTCATAAAACTTACCTGGGAATGAACAGCGTCTCTCAGGGTTTCCTGACAACGTGTACTGCAGGGAACACACACTGTTGTGTGTGTGCATGTCTGAAAAACTCCCGATCACCTCTTTCCCACCGAATTGAAACTCTTGCAAACCTACAATACTCACTCTCCCACCTCATATAAATCCCAGAAACCCTGCCGTGATGAAGGCATCAATGGCATGCGTACTAGGTGATGAAAATGCTAGCTGGAAAATGCTAGCTAATATTATTGCTAATTTACTACACCAGCTGCAGTAGTCAACACTAAAACAATCTTTAGGCTTGTTTAGAAAATATACCATTACTCTGTGTTGTTACTATCCAACATCCACTTGCCAAACTATGGTTGCCCATACTGGACAAACTGGTTAAACACACATTTGTTTCCCTGAAAGGAGCTAGTAATGTTAACGTTAGGCTATACAATGCTACTTTTTCAAACATCCAAACCACATTATACATTCACAAAAAAATAAATAAAAAAACATTAGTTAAATTGCTAACTTTATATTAATTTTGGAAAAACTTTAACCATTGATACACAAATGAGTAGGCCTAACATTAGCTAGGTAGCTAAACACATCACAAAATTAAAGTCAAGTCTATTTGTCAATTCAATAATGACTCCAAAAAAGGATGGTAATCATCCGTTTTTATGGCCAGAAAGAACTGTCTTTAGCTGATAACTGAGGAAGTTTGCTTGCAAGAGCAACAAGTCAAACAACTTTCGGAGGTACAGTAAGACCCCAAGAAATCGGGTAACTACTAGTGGCGAACGTGAGAACTGCAGTCAAATAGGTCGGAGAATAATAATTCTGTCAAGGAAACATTTTTTATTTATTTTACGAAATAGAGGCATATTAAGACAAAAGAAACATGACACAGTCTGTGAGTGTTAACAAATTACAGCAGGAAATGAAGAAATGTATTAAAATGCTGGAAGTAAATGCTGGAATTGAACAAATAACTATGCAAATGGCAAACATTGGCCGAGTAACAGAGTAAGAGGCTACAAAAGAGGATTTTGATTTCTATGCAATGTTCTGTAAATAGGAATACTTGAATGTCAGTTTTGTCCTTCTATTATTTTTGGTTGAACAGTAAAGCAATCAGAATGGAGAAAGCACATTAAAACCACCATGCACTACCCATAAAGTATATTTACAACTTTCATTATTAAGAAACATCAAATACCGTCAAAAATGAGAAAAATACAGTGATATGATATTTTGGCCATATCGCCCAGTACTAGAGTAGTAATACAGTACCTTCGGAAAGTATTCAGACCCACTGACTTTTTCCACATTTTGTTAGGTTACAGCCTTATTCTAAAATTGAAAAAAATGTTTTTTTCCCTCATCAATCTACACACAATAAACCATAATGACAAAGCAAAAACTGGTATTTAGAAATTGTTGCTAATGTATACAAAATAAATATCACACTTACATAAGTATTCAGTCCTGTTGGAAGGTGAACCTTCCCCCCAGTCTGAGGTCCTGAGCGCTCTGGAGCAGGTTTTCATCAAGGATCTCTCAGTACTTTGCTCCGTTCATCTTTGCCTCAATCCTGACTAGTCTACCAGTCCCTGCCGCTGAAAAACATCCCCACAGCATGATGCTGCCACCTCCATGCTTCACCGTAGGGATGGTGCCAGGTTTCCTCCAGACGTGACGCTTGGCATTCAGGCCAAAGAGTTGAATCTTGGTTTCATCAGACCAGAGAATCTTGTTTCTCATGGTCTGAGAGTCTTTAGGTGCCTTTTGGCAAACTCCAATTAGGCTGTCATGTGCCTTTTACTGAGGAGTGGCTTCCGTCTGGGGCCACTCTACCATAAATGCCTGATTGGTGGAGTGCTGCAGAGATGGTTGTCCTTCTGGAAGGTTCTCCCATCTCCACAGAGGAACTCTAGAGCTCTGTCAGAGTGACCGTCAGGTTCTTGGTCACCTCCCTGACCAAGGCCCTTCTCCCCCGATTGCTCAGTTTGGCCGGGCGGCCAGCTCTAGTAAGAGTCTTGGTGGTTCCAAACTTCTTCCTTTTAAGAATGATGGAGGCTGCTGTGTTCTTGGGGACCTTCAATGCTGCATAAATGTGTTAGTACCCTTCCCCAGATCTGTGCCTCGGCACAATCCTGTCTTGGAGCTCTACGGACAATTCCTTCGACCTCATGGCTTGGTTTTTGCTCTGACATGCACTGTCAACTGTGGGACCTTATATAGACAGGTGTGTGCCTTTTCAAATCATGTCCAATCAATTGAATGTATCACAGGTGGACTCCAATCAAGTTGTAGAAACATCTCAAGATTGATCAATGGAAACAGGATGCACCTGAGCTCAATTTCGAGTCTCAAAGCAAAGGGTCTGAATACTTATGTAAATAAAGTATTTCTGTTTTTTATTTGTAATACATTTGCAAAAATGTTTAAAAAACCAGTTTTTGCTTTGTCATTATGGGGTGTTTTTGTAGATTGCTGAGGATATTTTTTAATTTAATACATTTTAGAATAAGGCTGTAACGTAACAAAATGTGGAAAAAGTCAAGGGGTCTGAATACTTTACAAATGCACTGTACATGCTATACAACTAGGGCTCTCCATCCCTGTTCCTGGAGCTACCCTCCTGTATGTTTACTTGCGAGGTTCACCTCTCAACAGTGAGACCATAATTTAAAAAATGTACTTGCAGATTCACCATCTCCCCTTATTTGGGAGGGAGGTGAGTGAAGTGGAGGAGGAGGCAATGGAGGAGTGGGGTGGAGAGGGCAGCAGGGGAGGCAGAGGGGTGTGGTGGGATCGGAGCTGTTGGAGTAGTCGCTGTCTCTGTCCCTGCTGTCACGATCATGGCTATTCTGCTGCTGTGGTTGTGTGAGTGGTGGTTACGGTGGTCTCTGATGCCCAGGCTGTCCCGTCTGTAGCCCCTCTCCCCTCTCTCTTACTCAGAGTGGTGGGAATATTGGAGGAGGAGTTGGCCTCCTGGTAAAATGACCTAGAGCCGAACCCACCGGCACCATACCACCCTCCTAAATCTCTATCCCGCTCTCTGTCCCTGTCCCTCTCTCTGTCCCTGTCTGCCAGAGGGGGCTGCTTGTACAGGTGCAGGGGGCAGCATCACATATGTGGGGTAAAGCAGGGGCTCTTTAGGATTGAAGGGGGCAGTAGGGGGGTACGTGGGGCAACTGCTGTTATAGGGGACTTGAGGAGATACATGGGGGTCCTCCTGTTAACGGGGGAACTTTGTATGCCCTGACTGAGGAGGAGACGGCAGAGGAGGAGCAGGATGAGGAGGGCAACATGTCCTGGAGAGGATAGCCACTGCTGGTCAACGGCCCAGCGCTGTATATGTCTGACAGAAACATAAGACAGAAAGAGGTTTTAGATAAAACAAAAGTTGCCACATTGATTATTGCAATCCTAATGAATATAAAAATATATATAATAACAACACATGTGGATAATTGCTCAACTCTAACTGAGCTGTTATGCCATCATGTTATTGTTTTTTTTAGATAATCATCCAAAGACAAAAAAAATGTCACCCCAACAGTGTCATCTGGTAAGACAGACTTGGCAACAGCGTAGCCCAAGTCCTGTGAGAATGGAGTCCTGGAGCGAAGGGTGTAGGGTGTTCCTCCTCCCTGGAAGGAAGCAGAGGAGCCTGGGCTGTAGGGATATTGAGTATAAAATTTTTTAATGTCTCCATAAAACACCTCTATGCCTCAATTTTATATTGCATGTTTTTTTCCTACACTCACAAAAACAAATTCTCACAGAAAATTAAACCATACAGATATGAAGCCATGTCCTACCTTTGATATCCAGCTGAGCGTGAACGATGCGGCCCATGAGGTGTTGTGCAGGTGTTTGACAGTGTCCTTAGCCCCCCTGGTGCTGGTGAAGATCTCCTCCACCTATCCAAACTCCAAAGGGCTCCTTCATGTTGTCATTGAGGCAAGCAAAGGTCACCTCCTTGATGGGAATGAGCCCCTCATGAAATTTCAATCTACATTATAATAATCTATTCAATTAGTTAGCTAGCTATGTCAGGCGGCAGCTAAATAGGTGATGAAATAGGTGACTAGCTAGCTAGCTCAAATGAGAGCATTTGATGGCGCAGCAGATTCCATGCTATAACGTTAGCTTAATGTTAAAACAAAACTAGCTATGTGATATTACAAAAGCATGATCACATCCTCGACAAACTATAACGTTAGTCAATAATATACTAGCTAGCTAGCTAATGGAACTGCCTGGCAAATGTTTGCAAATGTTTATAACTAAGCCAAGATAGACCATAGCCTGTTGTTTCCAATAGGACCAAATTAATTATAGTGGGCAGATCAAGCAAGGAGGTGGT